GGTAACATTTACTAAACTCTTTCGTGCTTCTTCTTCTTCTTCTTCTTCTTCTCTTTTTTCTTTTTCTTAGAACGACTTTTCCGCGCGAAGGAATCCGTCCGGATCGCCGACAGTAATAATAAAATAGGCCATTCAAGTCGAAATATCCCATGAAAGGCATCCATTGTTGAGTTTATGTTCTTCTCCAACCTCTCTCTCTCTCTCTCTCTCTCTCTCTCTCTCTCTCTCTCTCGTTTTCATTCATGTCGTCGAAAGAAAATGGGGAAAAGAAACTCGAGCGTTTTGTACGACAAGAGTAAGAAAGATATAGAGGGAGAAGAAAAATTAAAGGATCATCTAGCTTCGACTATCCGTTCTTCGAAATACTTTGGACCGTTGAAAGATCGATCATTCGTTTGGAAACTACTTGCTCCATGTCTTTGTAGAAGTTCAACGAGAGTTTTAGCCCTCCTTCTTCCTTCTTCTAGTTCGTTCTCTACTTCCGTCCCTTTCCAATCCTCTTTCTCTCTCAATCTATCTCTACCTTTCTCTTTCTTTACTCTACTTGTCCCCTATCACCTCTGTTTTAGACCTAGATTATCGGATACTTCCGACGACTATTTCGACTAGCTTTACCGCGTTATGAACTTGACAGCAATTTTCCTACAATCCCCCCCCCCGCGAGAAGTAAGTTCGATCGCATAATCAACTACATACCGGATATATTTCATCGTGCTTTCTCTCGTTCTCTTTCATTCTTGTCTGTGAAGTCTCTTCGAACTCCATGAAACACGATTTATCTTTCTCGAATTGGAAGCTGTTTGTTCTGCTATTGTTTTCCTAATGAGATTCGGTTGAAACGTAATACGTCGAATTAACGCTAGAGTACTCTAAGACGATGACAATGATAAATTAAAAAGGTACTTTCTAATGAAATCACAACAATCGAATGTTATGAGATAATTATGTAAATGACGACGATGAGACAATGACAGAATCAAAAAATTTACCTTTCGTAATGTAAGGTTCTAATGAAATAATTGTACACGTTTAAAGTTGAAAACAAATTTTACGGAGAACAATTGAGAAGATTTCTTGTTAAAACTTGGTTAAAAGGAAGAAAAGTAAGGGAAAAAAAAAAAATAAATAAAAAAAATTCGGACGAAAAACGGAAACGTTTTCAACTTAACCACCGCATTTTACTTGGCACCATTTCTTCGTGGTTAACAACATTACGTGCCTTACATATACACACAGAGAGACACGCATGCACACACGGGGCTACACACACACTTTTTTCTTCTTTTATTTCTTGACCACTTTCGACTCTTTTGTACTACGAAAAGATAACACACAAGAGAACTGTCTCTTGTAAAGAAAATTCTAGGAAAACAGGAAAAGTCGCTTTTATACGTAAGATCGAGTAGGACAATCGCCTTATGGAAACATTGTGTGCGTCTTACTAGAAAACCGATAGGTCGATTAGTCGCTCGTGTCTTCTTCGTCGTACTAGTAAAATTCAAAGAGCAAGGGATACTTTTCTCTTTTTTTCTTTTCGAGCCCTTACATTTCACTTTATTTCTTTACTAACCAAAGAGATTCGATGATTTTTATCTCTCTCTCTCTCTTTTTCTTTCTTTCTTTTTAAGTTTGCCTTTCCACGACACGTTGTGTTGCTACAACGATGTAGAAGCAGCAACACGTCGAGTGCTTTTGGTAAGGAAGTAGGAAGTCGATAAAAGGCA